TTGCTGGCTTTTCTGTCTCGTTGTTCGAGTTTGTTATGTATTGTTGGCTTTTATGTCTGGTTGTTCGAGTTTGTTATGTTATGTTGTCTTTTCTGTCTCGTTGTTCGAATTCGTTATTTATTGTTGGCTTTTCTGTCTTGTTGTTCGAATTCGTTATGTATTGCTGGCTTTTCTGTCTCGTTGTTCGAGTTTGTTATGTATTGTTGGCTTTTATGTCTGGTTGTTCGAGTTTGTTATGTTATGTTGTCTTTTCTGTCTCGTTGTTCGAATTCGTTATTTATTGTTGGCTTTTCTGTCTCGTTGTTCGAATTCGTTATGTATTGTTGGCTTTTCTGTCTCGTTGGTCGAGTTTGTTATGTATTGTTGGTTTTCTGTCTCGTTGTTCGAGTTTGTTATGTATTGGCTGGCTTTTCTGTCTCATTGTTCGAGTTCGTTATGTATTGCTGGCTTTTCTGTCTCGTTGTTCGAGTTCGTTATGTATTGTTGGCTTTTCTGTCTCGTTGTTCGAGTTCGTTATGTATTGCTGGCTTTTCTGTCTCCTTGTTGGAGTTCGTTATGTATTGTTGGCATTTTCTGTCTGGTTGTTCGAGTTTGTTATGTTATGTAAGCTTTTCTGTATGGTTGTTCGAGTTTGTTATGTTATGTTGTCTTTTCTGTCTCGTTGTTCGAGTATGTTATGTATTGCTGGCTTTTCTGTCTCCTTGTTCGAGTTCGTTATGTATTGTTGGCTTTTCTGTCTCGTTGGTCGAGTTTGTTATGTATTGTTGGCTTTTCTGTCTCGTTGTTCGAATTCGTTATTTATTGTTGGCTTTTCTGTCTCGTTGTTCGAATTCGTTATGTATTGTTGGCTTTTCTGTCTCGTTGGTCGAGTTTGTTATGTATTGTTGGCTTTTCTGTCTCGTTGTTCGAGTTTGTTATGTATTGCTGGCTTTTCTGTCTCATTGTTCGAGTTCGTTATGTATTGCTGGCTTTTCTGTCTCGTTGTTCGAGTTAGTTATGTATTGCTGGCTTTTCTGTCTGGTTGTTCGAGTTTGTTATGTATTGTTGGCTTTTATGTCTGGTTGTTCGAGTTTGTCATGTATTGTTGGCTTTTCTGTCTCGTTGTTCGAGCTCGTTGTGTATTGTTGGTTTTCTGTCTCGTTGTTCGAGTTTGTTATGTATTGGCTGGCTTTTCTGTCTCATTGTTCGAGTTCATTATGTATTGCTGGCTTTTCTGTCTCGTTGTTCGAGTTCGTTATGTATTGTTGGCTTTTCTGTCTCGTTGTTCGAGTTCGTTATGTATTGCTGGCTTTTCTGTCTCCTTGTTGGAGTTCATTATGTATTGTTGGTTTTTCTGTCTGGTTGTTCGAGTTTGTTATGTTATGTAAGCTTTTCTGTATGGTTGTTCGTGTTTGTTATGTTATGTTGTCTTTTCTGTCTCGTTGTTCGAGTTCGTTATGTATTGCTGCTTTTCTGTCTCCTTGTTCGAGTTCGTTATGTATTGTTGGCTTTTCTGTCTCGTTGGTCGAGTTTGTTATGTATTGTTGGCTTTTCTGTCTCGTTGTTCGAGTTTGTTATGTATTGCTGGCTTTTCTGTCTCATTGTTCGAGTTCGTTATGTATTGCTGGCTTTTCTGTCTCGTTGTTCGAGTTAGTTATGTATTGCTGGCTTTTCTGTCTCGTTGTTCGAGTTTGTTATGTATTGTTGGCTTTTATTTCTGGTTGTTCGAGTTTGTTATGTATTGTTGGCGTTTTTGTCTCGTTGTTCGAGCTCGTTGTGTATTGTTGGTTTTCTGTCTCGTTGTTCGAGTTTGTTATGTATTGCTGGCTTTTCTGTCTCATTGTTCGAGTTCGTTATGTATTGCTGGCTTTTCTGTCTCGTTGTTCGAGTTCGTTGTGTATTGTTGGCTTTTCTGTCTCGTTGTTCGAGTTCGTTATGTATTGCTGGCTTTTCTGTGTCCTTGTTCGAGTTCGTTATGTATTGTTGGCTTATCTGTCTGGTTGTTCGAGTTTGTTATGTTATGTAAGCTTTTCTGTATGGTTGTTCGAGTTTGTTATGTTATGTTGTCTTTTCTGTCTCGTTGTTCGAGTTCGTTATGTATTGCTGGCTTTTCTGTCTCCTTGTTCGAGTTCGTTATGTATTGTTGGCTTTTCTGTCGGGTTGTTCGAGTTTGTTTTGTTATGTAAGCTTTTCTGTCTGATTGTTCGAGTTTGTTAGGTTATGTTATGTTGTCTTTTCTGTCTCGTTGTTCGAGTTCGTTATTTATTGTTGGCTTTTCTGTCTCGTTGTTCGAATTCGTTATGTATTGTTGGCTTTTCTGTCTCGTTGTTCGAGTTGTTATGTATTGTTGGCTTTTCTGTCTCGTTGTTCGAGTTGTTATGTTATGTAATGTTAATTTTTTTTTCTGTTGTTGGAGTATTTCATGCTGTGTTAGTTGTTCTGTATTGTTGTTGGAGTTTGATATGTAATGTTGATTTTTTTTTTTTTAGTTGTTAGAGTTTGTTTTATTATGTTGTTTGTTTTCTCTGTTGTTGGAGTATGTTATGGTACGTTCATTTTGTCTCTTTTTCTGGAGTTTGTCATGTTATTTTAATTATTATCTTTGCTGTTCGTGTATGTTTCGTTATGTTGGTTGTTCTCTCTGTTGTTTTATTCGCTTTTATGTTAATTATTGTCTATATTCTTGGAGACTGATATGTTATGTTAATTATTCTCTTGGCAGTTGGAGTTTGCTATGTTATGTTAAATTTAAACTCCATTGCTAGAGTTTGCAATGCTATGTTGATTATTCTCTTTGCATTCGGAATTTGCCATGTTACGTTAATTATTTTCTCTGGTGTTGGAGTTTACCACGTTATGTAAATTATTCTATTGGCAGTTAAAATTTGCCATGTTGGATTAATTATTATCTTTTTTTTATGTTAATTATTCTCTTTGTTAATGGAGTTTGCCATTTTATTTTAATTATTGTTTTTGTTTTTCGCATATGTTTCGATATGTTAGTTGTTTTCTATGTTGTTTGAGTTTATAATGTTATGATAACTATTTGTATTGTTTTTGGAATAAGTTTGGTTTTGTTCTTAAAGTTTGTTTTGTTATGTTGGTATTTCTCTTTCTTGTTGGAGTTTGCTTTGTTGGTTGTTCTCTCTGGTGTTGTATTTGTTGTTATGTTAACTATTCTATATGTTTTTAGAGTTTGCTACGCTATGCTAATTATCCTCTTGGCAGTTGAAGTTTTTGTTTTTTTGTAATGGTAATTATTCTCTCTGTTGTTAAAGTTTAATTTCTTTGTTAATATTCCTTTATTATGTTTCCTTTATTATTCTCTTTCTTCTTGGAGTTTGTCATGTTATTGTATTTATTCTCTCCGTTGTTGCAGTTTTAACATCTTGCCCTTCAACAAAGTCAAAGTGTCTGTCTCGCAACACCAAGAACAAAATACATCAAACGTTGATAAGACCAAACGTGCTATACGGCTCGGAAACTTGGAGCACAACTAAAAGAGATGAAGCCTTATTACAGGTTTTCGAAAACAAAGCCTTACGACCAATCTTTTGACCCATCAAAGATGCAAACATTGGGTAATGGAGAGTGAAAAGCAACAACGAAATTCAAAATCTGTTTAAATCGCCATTGATCACTGGCATCATAAGAGCTAATAGACTTGAATGGTTGGGGCATATTGAAAGAATGACAGATAACAGAGAAGTGGAAACTGTATAAACCTGGGAGATGAATGGTCATAGACCACGAGGCAGACCAGAAAAAATATGAATAGATAATGTCCAGACAGACCTACAAAACTTGGTGCAAACAAATGGAAAGAGAGGGACAACCTGAGAGATGAATAGAAGCGGGTGATATTTGCCGCAATGAACCTCAAGGGCTCGGAATACTGAAGAAGAAGTTGTTGGAGTTTGCTATGTTATGGTAATTATTCTCTCTGTTGTTGGAGTTTGCTATGTTATGGTAATTATTCTCTCCGTTGTTGGAGTTTGCTATGTTATGGTAATTATTCTCTCTGTTGTTGGAGTTTGCTATGTTATGGAAATTATTCTCTCCGTTGTTGGAGTTTGCTATGTTATGTTAATTATTCTCTCTGTTGTTGGAGTTTGCTATGTTATGGTAATTATTCTCTCTGTTGTTGGAGTTTGCTATGTTATGGTAATTATTCTCTCTGTTGTTGGAGTTTGCTATGTTATGGAAATTATTCTCTCCGTTGTTGGAGTTTGCTATGTTATGTTAATTATTCTCTCCGTTGTTGGAGTTTGCTATGTTATGGTTAATATTCTCTCCGTTGTTGGAGTTTGCTATGTTATATTAATTATTCTCTCCGTTGTTGGAGTTTGCGGTGTCATTTAAATTATTATTTTGGCAGTTTGAGTTTGCTATGTTATGTTATTTATTCTGTCCGTTGTTCATCACCTGAAGTCCTAGCACATACTGAAGGACGACATGTTAAAAATAAAAAACAAAAAAAAAAAACGACACAAGCAAATTTGAAAGATTGATTCACAGAGGTCTGGTAAATACGAGGACTTTGAGAATTGTAATTTATTGACTTTCACAGTTAAACTAGCTGAATTAATTGTTTAAACTTAATGCTTTCGATGAATTCACTGAAATGGCTGTCCCCCCCCCTCCCCTCTCAACATTTAAAGTAGATCGGTATATATCTAATATATCCTAGCAGTTATCTCCCTCCATCACTGGTTGTTAGCACAGTTATCTCCTTCCATCACTGGTTGATAGCACAGTTATCTCCTTCCATCACTGGTTGTTAGCACAGTTATCTCCTTCCATCACTGGTTGTTAGCACAGTTATCTCCCACCATCATTGGTTGTTAGCACAGTTATCTCCTTCCATCACTGGTTGTTAGCACAGTTATCTCCTTCCATCACTGGTTGTTAGCACAGTTATCTCCTTCCATCACTGGTTGTTAGCACAGTTATCTCCCTCCATCACTAGTTGTTAGCACAATTATCTCCCACCATCATTGGTTGTTAGCACAGCTATCTCCCTAGCTGCTAGTATTTCCACAGGTACAAGAACTTCCATCGGGCAATGGGAATCTGTAATAGAAATAGTTTCAGTTTAACGTGTGTCTCAACTGTCTGTAGTACATTCAGCCTGTGTCTCAACTGTCTGTAGTACATTCAGCCTGTGTCTCAACGGTCTGTAGTACATTCAGCCTGTGTCACAACTGTCTGTAGTACATTCAACCTGTATCTCAACGGTCTGTAGTACATTCAGCCTGTGTCTCAACGGTCTGTAGTACATTCAGCCTGTGTCTCAACTGTCTGTAGTACATTCAGCCTGTATCTCAACGTTCTGTAGTACATTCAGCCTGTGTCTCAACTGTCTGTAGTACATTCAGCCTGTATCTCAACGGTCTGTAGTACATTCAGCCTGTGTCTCAACGTTCTGTAGTACATTCAGCCTGTGTCTCAACTGTCTGTAGTACATTCAGCTTGTATCTCAACGGTCTGTAGTACATTCAGCCTGTGTCTCAACGGTCTGTAGTACATTCAGCATGTATCTCAACGGTCTGCAGTACATTCAACCTGTGTCTCAACTGTCTGTAGTACATTTAACCTGTATCTCAACGGTCTGTAGTACATTCAGCTTGTATCTCAACGGTCTGTAGTACATTCAGCCTGTGTCTCAACGGTCTGTAGTACATTCAGCCTGTGTCTCAACGGTCTGTAGTACATTCAACCTGTATCTCAACTGTCTGTAGTACATTCAGCTTGTATCTCAACGGTCTGTAGTACATTCAGCTTGAATCTCAACGGTCTGTAGTACATTCAGCTTGTATCTCAACGGTCCGTAGTACATTCAACCTGTATCTCAACTGTCTGTAGTACATTCAACCTGTATCTCAACTGTCTGTAGTACATTCAACCTGTATCTCAACTGTCTGTAGTACATTCAGCTTGTATCTCAACGGTTTGTAGTACATTCAGCCTGTATCTTAACTGTCTGTAGTACATTCAGGGTGTGTCTCAACGGTCTGTAGTACATTCAACCTGTATCTCAACTGTCTGTAGTACATTCAGCTTGTATCTCAACGGTCTGTAGTACATTCAGCTTGTATCTCAACGGTCTGTAGTACATTCAGCTTGTATCTCAACGGTCTGTAGTACATTCAACCTGTATCTCAACTGTCTGTAGTACATTCAACCTGTATCTCAACTGTCTGTAGTACATTCAACCTGTATCTCAACTGTCTGTAGTACATTCAGCTTCTATCTCAACGGTCTGTAGTACATTCAGCTTGTATCTCAACGGTCTGTAGTACATTCAGCTTGTATCTCAACGGTCTGTAGTACATTCAACCTGTATCTCAACGGTCTGTAGTACATTCAGCTTGTATCTCAACGGTCTGTAGTACATTCAGCTTGTATCTCAACGGTCTGCAGTACATTCAAAATGTATCTCAACGGTCTGAGGTACATTCAGCCTGTGTCTCAACTGTCTGTAGTACATTCAACCTGTATCTCAACTGTCTGTAGTACATTCAACCTGTATCTCAACTGTCTGTAGTACATTCAGCTTGTATCTCAACGGTCTGTAGTACATTCAGCTTGTATCTCAACGGTCTGTAGTACATTCAGCTTGTATCTCAACGGTCTGTAGTACATTCAACCTGTATCTCAACTGTCTGTAGTACATTCAGCTTGTATCTCAACGGTCTGTAGTACATTCAGCCTGTGTCTCAACTGTCTGTAGTACATTCAGCCTGTGTCTCAACGGTCTGTAGTACATTCAGCCTGTATCTCAACGGTCTGTAGTACATTCAGCTTGTATCTCAACGGTCTGTAGTACATTCAGCCTGTATCTCAATGGTCTGTAGTACATTCAACCTGTATCTCAACTGTCTGTAGTACATTCAACCTGTATCTCAACGGTCTGTAGTACATTCAACCTGTGTCTCAACGGTCTGTAGTACATTCAGCCTGTGTCTCAACGGTCTGTAGTACATTCAGCCTGTATCTCAACGGTCTGTAGTACATTGAATGTACTACAGAATACTGCTCCCCCTACCCGCCCCTTACTATCTGGAGCTTGTAGTGGTACATACTGCTCCCCCTACCCGCCCCTTACTATCTGGAGCTTGTAGTGGTACATACTGCTCCCCCTACCCGCCCCCTACTATCTGGAGCTTGTAGTGGTACATACTGCTCCCCCTACTCGCCCCTACTTTCTGGAGCTTGTAGTTGTACATACTGCTCCCCCTACCCGCCCCTTGCTGTCTGGAGCTTGTAGTGGTATATACTGCTCCTCCCCTACCCCCCCCCCCTTTGCTGTCTGGAGCTTATAGTGGTACATACTGCTCCCCCTACTCGCCCCTTACTATCTGGAGCTTGTAGTGGTACATACTGCTCCTCCCCTACCCGCCCCTTGCTGTCTGGAGCTTGTAGTGGTACACACTGCTTCCCCACCCTTTTCTTTGAGCTTGCGGTGGTTACTGCCGCTTTCCCCTGTTGAGCTAGTGACATCCCTCCCCAAGCCCCGCCCTAGGAGCTTATAGCAGTTTATGCCTCCCCTTCCGTTCTTGAGCGTGAATTGCTTCAGTTGCCTTTCCCAGACCCTGACACCCACCCCACCTTGTAGTGGTACATGCCGACCCCGCCCCACATCACCCCCAGTTATCTGTAACGATGTTTGTTTGTTTTAGTATCCAGAAGCCATGAGTTGTTAACCCTTAGGCTCGGTATTATGGATATCGCAACCTTTCGGCCTTGATTCCATTGTAAATACCGTAAATCTGGGAGAAAATGTGGCTTTCCTGCCTACCCCCGGGATTGAACCCGGACCACAAGGAGTACGTCACCCGGTCTCCGCGAAATCCGGTTTAGCCAATTCCGCTAGAGAGCCGGGCGTAACGATGTTTCAGCAAATGTACCTCACATAGCAGCTGGTGTCACCATCTCCATCATCCTTATTATCCTATAAGGGAGCTAACCATGAACGAACGAACCAACTTTATTTTTAAAGGGTTACAAACTAGGCACGCAGGCCTGTCTTACATTCGGCCCTTCTAAACTGCTATCTTTCACACAGCAGTTGTATTTCATCAATATAGCATGTTATGTTCGTGTAAAAATATCCATTTTATGAATATCAAGTCAAAAACAAAAGCATGGGTGGTAAAATATGTGCGCACGCTCGCACGCGAACACACACACACCCACATACACATACAAATCCATTCACTCACATACACACACACACACACATAGACACTCCCCACACA